GAGAGAGAGTAGGGACGACAAGCGATGTCGAAGATAGTGTTCTTCACTTTTAGCACTGCTACCTGTACTAATGGAGAGAGAGGGACTAAAGACCTCCTGGGTCCCCGCCAGTGATTTCGAGATTTTATAAAACGTTGGAGACCATAAGGTGAGTCTTTAGAAATGAACATAAAGAGCAGAACGGCCTAAGATTGTGCCAGGGGTTCATTAACATCAAGGACTCTTCAGTGATAGTGGTTGATCCTACTGAGGGAATACCTAATAATAAGTTTTTGCCGTCTCAGGAATGCAAACGACGTAAAATGGAACCAACGCCACAAAACAGACGTCTGGTTATGGGTGATGTCTTCAACGAAATACGTTTTCCAACGATGACTGTTGAAGAACTGGGTGAAACAGGTATGCGCATCAGAATTAGTTTTGAAGTCGTTCACTGTACTCCAAAATCTGGCCTCTTCATTTTTTTTATTCTAACATTCTGCAGTTATTTCTTCGTTATCAGTTTTGCAACTTATAATGTGTTTTATGAGGTACGCAAACTTTAACTTTTATGCGTCTTCATATACACGAAAAAATCAGATTACAGGTAACATGCCCTTACTGGTAGAGTGCCCTGTGTACACATTTCAGAAAGGCTAGTTACTTGTAAAGATCCCTGATCGTTACGAAAATTACTACCTCAAAAACGATGTCATATTTTTCTTGGGGTTGACAGACGGTTTTTCAGTATTGGTATTATATCATATTTCGACTAGATACTTTTTAATCGTATTTTTTCACATTATTTATTCATTTGGCAACTTCATTCTTCGTTATTTGTAGCCTCTTTCATCCACGTAATTCATATATGGGCATGCAGTTGCCCTCCATCGTCCCCCGACAAACTTCCCTGTATTCCTCTAGCACTTTGTGGTTGCCATTTATTAAATTACATTATCTGTTTGCTTCTCTGATTTCTGGCAACTGACTTAAGCACTTATTGAAGTACAAGGAAATCAGCGCGCAATATTGTAGGTTTGCGCATAAGTGGATCCAGATGAGGGAAGGGAAGGGGGGAGGAGGTGGTGGGCCTTCCACTTTGGCGGCACGGGTACCAGTGCTGCAGAAGTCTGGGTCTAAAGCTAAAACCAAAGAAAACTTCCTTGCGACTCCCTCCCCCTTCCCTTCCTCCGGATCATCGCCACACCGGTAGATCTATTTCCTCCCCCCACCCTCCCCTCTTCTCCTTCTTCCTCCTCTCCCCTCTTTCTCCTCCTCACCCCCCCCCCTCCTCCCCGCTCCTCCC